GTGGGATTTGTTTCAAAGGAGTTCAAAGGCAAGAAAGATAATCTGAAGGATAGAAATAAACATGAAGCACCGCTTGTTCGTTTGTCTAGAGTATTGCCCAACGGGAAGGGCACTTCGAGAAGAAAGACTGGTCTTTTCAAGAGTATGCAAGAAGTTCTCGATAAATCGAGGAGCGTGATGACGCAGGCGCTGTTTTACACTTGTTAATTGTCCATGGTTTGAACAATTATAGCATAATTTATTTTTTCGGCTGTTGCGCCAGTGCTGTTTTTGTTGTTTATAGTCATCATAAACACTCTTAATACCTAGGAAGAGTAAACCATGGACATGGCCTCAGTCATGCTTTTTTTCTTTTTTTTTTTCTGGCTACGGCCCTGTATGCAGTAATCAACCAACCAAAATAATTTGGTTATATTTTTAAAAAGAAGTTAGTGCTTAGACATTTTTCAATTTCAACTTTCTAAATTCCTGTTCTTTAAGTTGACACTTAGCTTATTTTCATTAACACCCGCTACAGCATCTTAGCAACCAACCACTTTATTGAACACTGTCAATATATGAAAACCATCCATTAGACTATGACATTACTCAGCTTAAACACAAAAACATCTGCTGTCAAATTAAAGGCAGAAACATATGGTTTTACGGAGCCTGAATTTGTCTGCGTAAAAGCACAGCATTGACTAGGCTTTTCCTGTCGAATTGATTTCCTGGGAAAAACATAAATATGCTTTGGTGAAACTTTCTGCATTGTCGCCTCGTCCAGAATCTGAAATGATGACAACAGTGAAAAATCGATAACCACCCTTGATGTTACATGTTAATTGAATTAGATTCAAGTGATCAACAATTCAAATAATTCAAACGAAGAGCAATATTGTATATGAATATCGGCATAATAAAAATTTAGAAAGTAAATCATAGAGTATACGTAAGCAATATATATAGCGAAATAAAGGCAAAAATTTAGTAAAAAGAAAAACAACCACAATAAAATGCTCAACGGAAATTCAGATACGCAGTCTTTCCTCAGAAAATATTGTACTCAGAAAGAGCATCCTGTTTTGTTAGCAATTAACGTTTGAGACATAAGTTTTATTTTGTTTAATTCTTTTTTAAGACGATGAATGCCGCGACATCATATTCAAGGCACCAGTCGCAAGCAAGGCAATGGAGAACCACGTGATCAGGAGTGCGGAGGTGCCCAGTGAAGGGAGCTGTCGCTTGATGTGCTATATGTAGCCCAATTGTGTGTCCATCAATTTAGGACCATTGGAGGACGGAAAACACAAATGCGAGTTGAACAACGC